TTCTTGTGTGTTGAGGTTCAAAAACAACTCCAACCCGCGGATCCGTGGTTGGGGTTAGGGCGGTTAGGGTTGGGTTAACCCCGACTCTAACCTGCGGACAGGGGTTGAGGTTCGAGGAAACCCCAACCCTGACCTGCGGATCGGGGTTGGGTTCGGGTCAACCCTATAACTTGTAACTCTTACCTGCGGCTCGAGGTTGGGGTTCGGGTTAACACCAACCCTAACCTGCAACCTGCGGACCGGGTTGGGGTTCGGGTTAACCCCAACCTGCGGACCGGGCTGGGGTTGCGTTCGGGTTAACCCCAACCCTAACCCCAGGTTCAGGTTAGGGTTAACCCGAGTCCCGAACCCAGAACCTGGGGTTGAGGTTGGGGTTGAACCCGTGAAGTTAGGGTTTTGGTTTCAGGTTGTTGGACCCCCCCTGGACCCGGCCCGGGGTGACAACCTGGGTTCAACTCCAACCCCCAACCCGCCCCTGCGCGGTATGCTCCCAGGATTGATGACAGCGAACTCTTCCACCTTGTGCCACAAAAGGCAGGTCCGCCTGCGAGCTGCCAGAAACACGCAAGTATCGTAGAGCACGCAACCCAACACTATGTCCTTTCGACGAGAGACCGCCACCGCACCTGCTGCCATGGATGGCTTCTCGGACAGAAGCTGGCAGAAAAAACCATCGGGTCGACTCCCGGTGCTGCGTTGCTCCCAAAAACAGTTGCAGCTTTCAGGCCTCGTTGGGTCCGACACCTCCCAACCACAGTGCCGAGGGCCTGCGCCAGCAAGAGACCGTCTGGACTGAACGCCTCTACCACAACCTTCACTCCTCCTCACTGGAGATTCAACTCCTAGCACCTCTCCACGAAATAAATTGTGGCCGCGTGTTAGGGTTCTTCTGTTTGGTTTTGTTCGCTTCAAAACTAGCAATTCAAGATTGTCTCTGTGTGTCTCTCAAGGCGGCATGACTGTGTAGACGACGCGACGACGACGACGGCGCGAGTGTGCCAGCTCAAGGTGCATCTAAAATTGGCAAGTTTTGCGGGACACAACTTCAAGTTGGAAAAAGCTGGCACACAGACGACTGTACATCGGATGGACGTGGTAAAACGGCAAAATGGGAAATGTGTGGAGAAACTGTTGAGGGTTTGCGAAGGCAAACTTGTACAAAATGGGAAAAACAAAATTTAATTTTGCAAGCAAGAAAAACCGTTTGATTTTAACAACTTTGTGAACACAATAGAAAAACGAAGCAAAACTTCCATGCAGCGAAAATTATGATTTTTGCAAACGACAATTCTATAAGAATTTGGAAGAAAAAAAGAATTTCCGTAAAACAAACATTCTATGAAGAGCTTGGAACGCGAAATTTCCTGTTTCGTTTTTGCCCACCACCTTCTGTTCACTTTTCATTATACAAACAACAGTTCAGCGACAGCATTGCAACCACCATGGATGCGAAGTCTGAATAGTGTGCGACGAAGGGTTGGGGTTCCAACAACCGCGCTCTCTGGTTTCTCATTTGGATTGCTTTGCTTTCTGAAGTTCAGCAACAACGAAAGCGGTGGATATTGCCACTTGTACTGCACAGCAAACCTGGACGAGGTACATCCGGTTTCGGACGAAGAGGCTGAGGAAGAGAAAGCGCCGGTCCACAAACGTGCATTTATCAGAAGTGTTGGCACGATCATGGGTTCTTCCACTACTACTTGCCATGTTCGCTCACACCATCCAAATACTTGCGAGCCTTGTATCGGTTTTGCTCAGATGCACCTCAAAGGCAAATCATGGGCGAAGGTTCGGAATCAGATTCGCGCTCTTTTGTCGCTTCGTATGCCAGCGCACCAGGTCTTGCTGGGACGTTGAAAACCATACGGAACTTCTGCAGAGCTGAGGAAGCCACACACGTTGGCTCGCCAAGTGAAACAGCGACTATTCCGGCGCAAGTGATGTCTCAGCATGCCTCGGATCTTCTGACTTGCATCCCAGGGGCACTTATACGGTCGGGTTTTCGCTTGAAGTTTGTTGGTTGTTTGCTCCGGATCGAGCGCAGCTGACTGCTGTGATGAAGCAGATTTGGGTGCAGGATAAGTTGCGGAGTGTAAAACATCCAATCCATCAACACAATACAAGGTGGCGAACGGCCATCGCGCAAGCCACTCAGTGACCTGGGACATTGCACCTTTTTGACAAGAGCCGGGCCACTGGAACGGCCTTGCTGCCATTCAGAAAGATGACGTGTCGTGGCCTGGGGCGATGTGGCAGCCGGTGGCGATAGCAGGCACAGGGTCGGTAGAAAGGCGTGTATCGCATCCAATCCGCTCGGTCACTCGCCGCCCTCCTTCTTGATGGAGCAAGAAAATGAATAGCAGATGCGGCTTAAATCCCAGAAGCAAAGATCGTGGCTTTGTGTTTGTGCATGGGGTCCAAGCTTTTTTTTTTTGAGATTTTGAATTTCGAATTTTCTGTTTATACTTGTTTGACAGATTCTCATATGGGAGGCCTCAGACTCAGATGTTTTTCAATTTTTTTACATTTTCTGCCGCACCAGATTGTAGAACTTTAGTTTGTGATGCTGGGTCTGAGTCTATGAATCACAAACATGATGATTCATGACTCGTGAACCAGGTTCGAAATGTTGGTTCGTGTCAACATGTTGTCACTTGACTCAGCCTACTGTGTTTGCGATGCCAGTCATGAGTAATGTTGTGCAGCGATGCAGTTGCCATCCAGCAGCAATGGAAAGCACGTTGCTTCGCACATGTCCTCGCCAAGGAAGCAGGCCAGCTGTTGCACCATGCAGATGGTACACAATCCTCCATTCTGACAGGTCACATTTGAGCACGTTGCAAGACTTTACAGGCGCGGTGCTGTTGCCTGCGTTTGCTTGTGACTGCTGACAGCTGGTATCATTTAAGAACTCCGAGTTCAGAGGCGCGGTATTGGCCTGTCGCCGCAGTGGGCGATGGCAGGAGTCAAGGTTGCTGTCCGGAGCTGACTCCAAGCGAGCCTATGGCTGCATTTCGGTTCGCACAAGATACTCCGAGGCTAAGCGAACTCTGCGAGAGTCTGCTGAAGCTAGATGCAGTGCTGCTCTCGGAGTGTGGATTCTGGCTGTCTGTTGCAGTTTGTGTACGCTGGTTTTCGTCGGATTTGGTGCTTTCATCGAGCTTCCAAGCAACCGTCGAGGTCATCTGCAGCGCCTGTCACTTGGAACAGAATAGTTTTTTCCTAGGTGCAATAGTTGCAAACTTCATGCACGTTTTCTGTACCAACACTGTAGCATCATTTTCAGTGTCGCATGCCTTATATACAGAGAGACGATGTACTCGGGAATCCTTCTCATGAACTGACTGCGCAGCTCCTTGCAGTGCAGGCATCGGCACCTGCGCCAAGGCATGCGGTGCACAGGAAGTTTGAAGACAGATGAAAGCGCACACCAGAACAGCCCAGGTGAAGCAATGGCCATGGTCCATCGAAGAATTTTCTCACATGCAAACCGCGGGTGGGCTTCCAAAGTGCGTGCGTGCGTGCGTGTGTGTGTGTGTGTCTTTGCGCGTGCGTGTATCTGTGCTTGAGAAAAGAGACAACAGATACCGGTTGCAAAGTTCAGGTCTCGAGCTTGACGCGGTGGCATGCGGAGTGGAGTGCTTATGGAAAGCTCCGTGCACGATGGTTGCACGCCGGCTGAAGTCGGTCGCATACTTATGGATGTAAGCCGTGAGGTTGTGTTGAGTGCATCTAGCACCTCGGGAAGATGGGAAGGCCCATCCCGTAGTGTAAGGGCAGAGTGTCTGAGGCTTCAGAGCTTTTGGCCGGGTCCAGTGACGCTCCGCACCCAGGAGCATCGACGCTGCTCGCCACCATGCAGGGGCAGAAAACTGAAGCAAATGCTGGAGGCCCAAGGCCTTCAAGACCGACCGGAGCCTTCTGGAAGTCTGTGTTCCCGAGGTTGTGAACTACAACTCTAGCCTGAGTGCGTGCGAGAAAGCATTTTCGTGGGTCAAGCTCTCGGGTTGAAGGGCTGAACAGCAGAAGTACTCAAAGGTTGCCGCATCTTCTCTCCTGTCGCAGTGCTATTTTCAGACGAGGTGCAGTCTGCTGAAATGTTTGATTGCATGGCAATGGCGGGGTTCTCAAGATGTACTTGATGCACTTCAAGGCCGTGAGTCCCCCACCCCGAAGAATTCCAAGGTAATGGTAGAGGCAGATTTGATCACGTGCCCAGCTCACGTAGCAAGTAGTGAGTACGGAGTGGACCTCGCAAGCTTGCTCTGCAGGTACAGTGCCTTAGCCAATGCTGTGGAGGCAAAAGGATACTGGCGGTGGGAATCTGAGTGTGTTTTCGTACCGATGATTCATACGAGCACGGTTAGGTGACGTTTGCACGACAATCCCTTGCGCGATTGGAGTTGCGACGGGCGAGACATTCATGAATGTCAAAAAGTGCATTACAGCGCCCTGTCAGTTGCTGTATCAACTGTACTGTAGAGAATGTCAACCTATGAAGTCCAGACATACTGTCTTGTTCGACATATTTCATGTCATGCACCCTACGACCAGTGTAAGCCATTGGTTTGCTACGCTCGCAACTGTCCTGTTGCTTAAACTACATGACTCGCCCATACAGCAATGTCCATCACTCCAGCAATGTATACACTTTCATTTTAATATGCTGTAAAGTACTATAGTATATACCTGTATATCATGTAACACATGGCAAAATGTAGTGGCCTAGGACGGCGGTGGACATCAATTTCCAACTTCGCGAACGAGGCCTTCACGGGGTTACCGGGATGCCCAGATGCCACCTCCCTTTCAGGCTTACAGGCAGATGTTGTCTTGGGCAACACGGTCATCAGTGCCACGGAGAAAGGTGCGGTCCTCTGTCGTCGTAGTCGCAGCGGAGTGGGAATGAAGGTTTTCAGTGAAAGTTGAGGCAATCAGTGGACCGTGGCGATCAGTCTTCTTGACCAGATGAGTGCCCTTCTGACAAGCCGATGTACATAGCAGGTGGATTGCTTGAATCGCACGGGCTCAGGTCTGTCGCATCTGAAGAGAACTGAGATCACTGTCGTCGTCCCGGTGCGTGGCAGAGAGTCCCAGACATGAGGCTGTGCAACCTTGACATATCCCTAGGTCAACTCTGTGATCAGCGCCTGCGAGAAGGACGACCAGTCCGAAGGGGGGGGCACCAGGTGTTTGGTTTTGGCTGAGGCTTGTCCTTCCCTGTACTGCATTGCATTTCCGATCTGGTCAGGGCTTGCAGTGGAAGCAGGCAGAGTCGTTGCTGTTCATTCGCCCACCAGGCTATGGATCAGGCCACCCGTAAGCAAGCCATGCCAGTGGCTTCTACATTTCGGGAGTTACTGTTGCTGAATTCCCACCATTGCAAACGTTGCGATTATGTCACGGAGCAATGATACCACGACGTTCCATGCATTGGCCGCCTGTTGCCATATTTATCTACCTATATATACGTGTATGTATCTATATCTATGTCTATGTCTGATTCTATATCTATATCTATATCTATATCTATATCTATATCTATATACATATATACATGTATGTATGTATGTATGTATGTATGTATGCACGCATGTATGTATGTGTGTAGTATGTATGCAGGGAAGGATGCATGCATGCATGTATCTTTCTTTCTATTTTTCTTGCTTTCTTTATTCCTTTCTCATGAAAGCTTCGGCCCTGATGGTTTTCTTATGTAGTAGGACTTTGTAGAATGTTGTACATCACGCCAGCAAGGGGATCCCTTACTTTCACATGCACGCGTGTGGTGAGCAAGCTGAGACGGGGATGGGTCCATATGCCGCGGCTTTGGCAGTTTTGTGCTGCTGAGAGATTTGCAAAGCAAGAAGGATAGGAACAAGTGGCGGAGTCAGCACGGAAAAGATCCCCCTTCACGCCTTGTCTCTGCTGCGATTCGGCGTCGTGAACTGCTCCTGCCTCACTCCAACTCCCGGCTAGCTTTCTTTCTGCTCGGCTGGCGAAAGTAAGACGTCACAATACTCGGCATCTGACGTTCGGGCCTTGTCGAGGGTTTCTTCCTGCATTTCTGGCAGTTGTTCAGGCCGTGGATACTTCATAAAGTTAAGTGCCATGCCTGACATCTACACGGATTCATCCGTGCCATACCCCAAACCCCAAATCCAGAACCCTAGACTATGTGCAGGGCAGCTACACATAGCAGCCGACACCTTCGCGCGACCTTGCTGAGACTGTGGAATGGGGTGTACAGTAGGGGTTGGGATTAAGAATTTGGGTTTATAAAAAAATATACATATATATATATACATATATATATATACATATATATATATATATTGTAGTATATTACTATATTTATTATATAATATATATTATCTGTTATGTATATTATATTTGAGGATTCGAACCAGGGTTTGTTGGGCCCGAGCAGCCGGATGTCCTTGGCTCACAAGCGACAAAACTTGTCAGGTACAACTCTGTGATGAGTGTCTATGAGGAGTGCAGCCTTTGGATGCATGGGCTCAGTGCCCTGTCATTGTGCCCCGGTGCCTTTTCAGCGGAGTATTTTGTCGGATTGTTGGGAAATAATGGGCTCAGGTGAAACAGTAGATCACAAGAAAGGATGTCCAGCAAGCACGTCCGGGCCGACGTGGTGACTTTTACTTCATCCATCGGTGCGTGTGAGTGGGAGCACTGCTATGAGCTGTTGCACGTCATGCCTGGACATCGCGTCCTTCCAAACGTGGTGGCCATGAGCTCTGCAATCAGCTCAGCAGAGAAAGGTGATCAATGGGAGCTTGCACTTTGCACTCTGGCGCTGATGTTGAAGCTGAAAGTCTCCCCAAACGATGTGAGCTTCAACAGTGCCATCATCGCTTGTGCTCGCGGTGGGAAATGGGAGCTGGCTCTCCACCTACTCGAGAAGATGATGGATCTACATCTGGCACCGGACTTGTTCACAGGCACCTCGACTGTCTGGGCACTGGAAACAACCGGGGAATGGCAGCAAGCGCTCGATTTTCTAGAATGCATGCCTCAAACCCGCGCGAAGCCCAACGTTTTCGGTTGTGCCTCCGATGTCAATATCTGCGAACGTCAAGGTGATTGGCAGAAGGGCTCGAGGTTGATCAACATCTTGTCACAGGTGGCGATGCTACGCATCTAGGATCGTCTAGGCCTTCGTACTTGCAGATCATTGGCAGGGGTGGCGCTACTGCTGATCCGCTGGCGTCACACATGTCAGATGCAAGTCCTTGAGCAAGCAGGAAGTGAGAAGCTTCATCTCACGTCGTCTTGACTGGACTGGACTTCTGGGAGCTTTTGAGGCAACTGCTCATTTGTGGGACCTCTTCCAGCAGATAGAGTTCTTGTTTCGACAAGCACGGAACAGCTGCCAGATGGAGCTTCATCGAGCTCCGAGGCACAAGAAGCTTTGCTGGCACTCTGTTGAGTGGAGCCTCTGTTTGGGTGATTGGGGTTTGGCAGGGGGCTCGGAGTTCACCAGCAGGCTTGGAGCCGCAGCTGTAAACCTCCTTAGGGAAGGACCGCTTGCAAGAAGCCGAAAGGCAGCGACGATGCCAGAAATACAGCAGACCCTGAATCCCTAGTACCAGTGACCTGTCCAAGGACTCGAGGCTCCAGCGCTCGGAGGTCTGGCTTCGGCTCCGCTGGTATGGGCTTTCCCGACTGTGCCTCCTTTGCTTCCGGGCTGCAAGTGACACTTTGGACATCCTTTGAGCTTCCGATTTTCGTGACTGTCAGCCTTCACAGGACGTGCCAGATGTCCTGTCACCCTTGCTCGCAGCTTCTGGTTCCCATGGCATGGGATGTAGCACTCGCAACGGCTGGCACACAGTGTTGGAAAGCCCCTCAGAGATGTCGTCACCATACATAATCATAATTTTTAGCATAGTATAGTACATTATAGTACATTATAGTTATAGTATATTGTATTATTTACGTGTTGACACACACACACACAACAGACCCGAGCTTCCAGTCTAGGTACAGCAGAGTGCCACCCATTACCACAGACTTGACCTTGATTCCAGTTTGGTGCAATCCATGGGATGGCCGCTCGATTTCATAATTCGTACGATGCAAGCGGTTAATCTAAATCCCGAACCAAGACTTCTTAGAACCTTCACCCGCGACCCCAAACGGGTCATGCTTCGCCGCACAGCAGCTGGGACCGTTGAGCTAGAGGCGGACGGCGAGGGTACCCTTCTCAACTTTATTTAGTAACCGGCCGTCATTGGCTTCAGGGTGTTTCAGAAGTGGCGTGGACTTTTTCGGCTGCTGAGGAGTCACAAAGCAGGTCCTTTGAACCAGTTGGTGTTCCGCCACTTGACAAAGAAAGTCCGTTCCCGAATTGGAGCCAATCAAGCCGAAACCCATACTTCTGCAAGGCGGATGCTTCCGGTGCAAGATGCTTCCCAGGCCGTAGCTGAAGCGGGCAGGTGTGAGGGCTCGAATCGTGGTTGGACGAATCTCTAGGAACGGTAGTGTACAGCATATCCCAATGCTCGTTCTGACAATTTGGCTCCCACATTCGGGCAGTGGACATGCTTTCATCTGTGGCATCTGAGCCATCGGATGCAGTGGTGTTGCAGCAGCTGTCTTCTGGTAAAGTCGTGATGCGCACATGTCTATCCTGTATACTCATTTGTGGTGCCCTACCCCGAACTCTCCAAGCCAACGCCAACGACATGAGCGGTTCTGCCGGGTGGCAGGGCAAGATCCGACAGTTGCACGAACAGAACGGGCCCTCCTGTTTGTAATCGACCTCCGCTGCACAAAGTCCTGAAGTCCGAAAACCTGCGAAAGCCTAAACCCCAGGTCCAGTCCACCAATGCAACTCTAAAGCTTGTACCTCCAACACGCATAGAATCTTCGAACATCTTGAACCAATAATAGCCCTGAGGTCAAATCCATCAATGAGTTTACGGACTCCTTGGCCAAAGCTTTGGCGGAAGGTGACGGCATCCCATCCAAGGCCCGCTGTTGCTGCATCCAAGGCTTGGCAGCACAAGAAGAAGAAGCAGACGAAGAAGTAACAGTAGTAGTAGTGATAGAGGTAGTGGTAGCAGCAGCAGCAGTGCTACTCCCGGTGGTGGTGCTAGTGCCCGCTAGCGTTAGTTCAGTACCGGTCCGGCACCACTTTGTCCGTTTTTGTTCTCGCCTATCAGAAATGATTGTATTTCAACCACCTTTGCCTTGCCTAGTACAAGTATTCGCGAAGCTCATCTGTTCGGTACATGTTTATACACGTGAATAAGAAAACGAATGAACATGTAATTAATCATGAATCACACGCAGCACATATGTGTAGATGTACGTAGCGCCTATGTACACAGCGATGTAAAAAGCATATCATGGTATCTAGCGAAGTGTGTGTATTGAGTCTGCATTGCTACGTATTCATGTCGATTAGACTGTTGAGCGAGAATACGCCGACATATGCCGACGGCAGCCTCTGCTGAGCCTCATGTGCTTTCATGTCCGCACACTGTGTACTTGTAATACATGGTCATGTGGCGGCTCAGCTTGGTATGTTTCTCTACCCGTAAGGGCAGGTCAATGTCTTCATGTGCATAAGTGTAGTCTAGGTCTCTGTATGCATGCATGCATGCATGTATGCATGTAGGTACTCGTGTACACATGTGCAGCCTCAGCTCATTGTGGCACTACGTGCTGTAAGCCAGTGGTTATGATCTTGTCGAGTATTGAACCCTGCTGAGTGCTGTATCATGTTTTGTTATGTCCCGTTGTTCTTATTCCCGAAACGCCGGCCTCAAGAGCTGACAACCTGAGAGATCCTGAGTCCAACTCCGAGCCCAAACCCGAAATTCAAGATCCGCAGGCCAGAAATTCCGAAGCCGTAGAAAGCCGAAGAAAGGCCGAAAAAAAACCCAAGGGCCCTTTTGAGGCCCTAAGAGCCGTGCGAGGAGCTGACCCGCGAGCTCCTGGCGGAGGGCCTGCGACGGGCCTTGGAGATCGGAGGCGAGGTTTGCAAACAGCGCTTCTTGGAGCCTTGCCCTCAAAGGTTAGTCTTAGGGTTGAGGGTTTAGGGTTTAGGGTGACCTTTTGATGCGTAAAGGTACCGTTTGCATGGGTCATGATGACGATGATAGCGATGATAGTGTAAGAACAAGAAGAAGATGATGAAGAGGATGATGAGGAAGATCGTTGTACTATGTTGTACTGTTCGTCAGCAGCATTCACCTCAGAACTGTGAGTACTTTACTGACTATTGCAGCCACACTGGCATCATGATTTAATGTAACCGGGCACAGCCGTTTCCTATGTCTGTCCTCCTTCGATCGCGGGTATGTTAGCTGAGGAGACATTAGCTGCCAATATCCACAAGTTCGCGCTGCAGGACCCGATGCCTAGTAGTTGGTGTGAGGTTTATTGTCTGACTTTTTGGTGCCTTAAAGTCGTAAAGATGAAAAAGTCTTGGACGTGGACACTCCCCGGCGAGGCCCACCTCTTCCTCTGCCCATTCTTGTTGCAGGAGCAGTATTCGCTCTCCCGCGTGTACCCCGTTGAAATCAGTCCCAAGCTTACAGCTACCAAGCCTGGTTCAGTAAGAGGCTGTGCAAGCATGAAGTTAGGGTCGCAGCGCCCGGAGGCTCCGAGTATCGAAATCTTCAGTCCTTCTTCATCGAGTCTGCGACAGAAGGAGACGCCGAGGTGTGCAGTGGAGTAGACTGGCAGGGCGGAAAGCAGCCATTTTGTTCCCGCGTTTGCCTCGCAGGTGCCAAGTCGCGGGCTTGGTCTGCCCTTGTGCCAGTATGACCAGGATCTTCGTATTGAGGGTCTACATTCGGCCCCTTGTTTTCTGAAACTCTGATTTGGGCCATTTGACCCCTAAACCCTGGATCCTAAGCCCCCCTGAATCCTAAACCCCAAGCCCTAAACCCTTATGAGCCCCAAACCACTAAACCCTAAACCCTAAACCCTTATGAACCCTAAACCACAAAACCCTAAACCCTGAACCCTGAGCCCCCTTACCTCAACACCTCGCCAAGGCGCTGGCCGTGCCAGGAGCTCGGTTTTGACGAAGCTCGAGGCTTCCGTCGAAAGCTTGTTGAAGCAGGAGAACAAAATAGAATCATGCGGCAAAGCAAAGTTATACTATAGTAGAACATGATCGACATGATTCAGTAGGTTATGGTTATGGTTTAGATACTACACTATTTTACCCTAGTACGGGAAATTATACGTCGTTATCCTATATTAGACTGTATTATATTGGATTGTACAAGTACAGTGCAATGTCGTGTAATATAGACAAAATTATGGTCTAATATAGCGCTTAGGCCAAACCACAGAAGTTGGGAAGGGACAATGTCATGAGGCCTTCAATGGTACCTCCGGCACGTCGGACCCTCCGGCGCTGTCAGAGTTGCGGAGGACTGCCAAACTCTGGGATAATGTGGGATGCTGGATCTTATCGTGCCAGTGGCATTGCTTGTGCTTGTGTTGCTCTCATGATTCCTGCTCCTCCGCTTCCCCTGCTATGACTACTGCTGCGGATACCATAAGCATGATTATGCGCATAACTTGTGGCACTACCAGTATTATTTCCACAGTCATTTGTTAATGTTACTGTCACTGTCATCACCAGCATTCTGGTACTCTCGATCAGTCTTACTTGTGTTTGCATTTTGAATGATGGCACCAAGCCCTAAACCATGTGAGTTGATTGGACTTTAACATTTCGTGGGGTGGGCCTTGAGGAAACCATATTGCTTGCCATAGATCCCTGTATGGTTTGAAGCTGCATAGATTTTGATTTCGGTCGAGTTATTACAATTGCTCGTGTTACTGAAGCAGCAATAAGCATAATGCTGATAAGAGGAACTTGGAGAGCATGAAACCCCTTGGTTGAGCCACACATAAGTATATATACATATATATATATACATATATATATGTGTGTATATGTATGTATGTAAGTATGCATGAATGCATGTATGCATGTATGCATGTAACATGTCTGTATGTATGTATGTATGTATGTATGTATGTATGTACCTGCATATATATATATATACACATACATCTATATAATATATATATATGCATATGTATATTTACATATCTAAATGGTATATATATATGTATGACATATGTATAGTCATACATCATACATACATGTAAACATATATAGATATATATATATATACATACACACACACACACATTTGAACACATGTCTAGTCATACCAAGGATCCCTGTAGACGTACCGAGAAGTGCCTGGAAGTTTGCGATATTGCCTGTTTCGGCCTAAAACGCGTCACCTTAAACCTTCATAAAACCCATTTGTCAACCCTCAAAGGAGATTCCTTCCTGCCTGGGTTTTGGGCACCCTTGTCAACAGCTTCTGTGCGACGTTATCAGGCCCCTGCACACCACGACACGACCTTGTAAACCCTTATCAAACCCATAGAACCATAGAAATCCTGATCCAAGGCTTTCACGAGACCCCCAAAAGGGCATCATAGAGCCCTTTAAAGCCTCTCTGGCCCTAAGCTCTAAACCCTCAGAAAGACCTAGGTAAAAAGGCCATATTAAGGCGTTTTGTTGCTCTCTCTGGGACTTCTCAGGCGACTCGGTGCGTTGCCCCAGAAGCCTGGGCCGACCTCAGAGGCCCAAAGACCCGAGCCGAGTTTCGGGAAGTTTCGGTTTTTGTTAAGAAATAAAGGACCTTGAAACCCTGAATCCGAAGCCCTAGACTCAAAATCCGCGACCCTAAGCTAGCTTCAAGTTTTGACGGGAGGTGTTCCGCAGGATTTGGGCGTTTTCGAAAGTTCCCCTGATTCGTGGCCGAGGTTTTTTTGCAGCTTCAAGCGCGAGCGTTTGTTACTTCGGATTCTTGCATGAAAGTTGTGCAGCGCTTGAAAAAGCCGGGATTCGAGTCGGTCGTCAATGGCAGGGTGATTCACCGTCGCCCACGAGCGGGAACGAGATGGAACTGACGGTTAAGGGTTTAGGGTTCAGGGTTCAGAACCGACAGAGCATAATGGAGCGTGGAAGAGAACATGCAGAGGAATGGAGTGGAAGGGAACATATCGAGCTGCAGCAGATCAGAGTGCCCAGAACGGACGCCCACCGGAGTCATGGTCTTTCCGCAGAATGCGTGAGCGACCTCAGAAAACAGGGCCAGACTTCATCGCTGCAAAGTTTGGCAAAAGCACACCAGGGTCACCAGGGTTTGGGCGACACAACAAACACGGCTTCACCAGCCAGGGCCCTGGAGTGACACACTGCTTCGAACCTTTGCGCTTTCGACATCCAGACGTGCACGCATGACCACTTCATCCTTCGGAGCTTGCAGACCAAACCTCAGTCAATAGGTTTCCTGCCTAAAGTCTGTGAACCATCTGCCGAAACTCGTCACAAGCCTGCGGAACACAGTGTGCTTTTGGTCCAATGTTTCGGAAAGTGCGGTGCCTGAAGCGTCTCGAGCATTAGAATTGCTGTAAGTTGATACCTTATTAAACTTATGAATGTGTAATTATAATAGTATTATTATCATTATTTATAATCATTACTGTTGCTATAATTATTACTACATGGCCCCATATTATACTGCATTGTGTTAGTATGCCATATTGTGAGTGCAGCTTCACGGAAGCTGGAGCATGCGAGAATGTAGCAGTCAGTTCTTGTTCGAGGGTACATGGCAATCTTTCTATCGCAATAGATATTAGACTATATATTTGTACTATAAATGGTATTTATATATGTTACATTGTATAAATAACATAATACACGCATACATACATACATGCATACATACATACATACATACATACATACATGCATACATACATACATATATATACATACGGTTACACACGCATATATATATATATATACATATATATATACACATGTACATATATATATATACATTTGTGTTTATAAACATGTACAGCCAATTTAACTCATATTGTATCATAAGATATATCACATTGTAATACGGTTTACCGTAATATACAATATGAAGGCGTGTTATACTTTACTAGATGATGAAATATTATGTGATTTTGCCACATCATTACATTGTCTACGCTATGTTACATGATATGATATCGTGATGTAAATGCTTTGTCCTAATATGTTACACTATGCTATACTATATTTTATCATCTTTTGTCGTATTATTTTATGTCACATTGTGCTTATTGCATAAACTCTACTACATTACATGACGTTCTACATTGTAATACATCAATCATGATATATTAAACTGTTGCAAATTGTTATGTGGTTTTCTATGCTGCGTAGTATAAACTGTTGCAGTTTCGTTCTTACATGGTATTGTATGTAGGAAATATGTATGTATGTACATAGATATGTACTTGTATATAATTTTGATACACAAACATATATGTCTATGTGTATACGTATCTATATATGTATATATATATATATACACATACATATATACATACACAAATTCTGTCCTATTCGTTATGTGTGCATATGCAGTCTTTTGATTTGATGTTGTATGTTCTGTGTTTATGTTGCATGTCACATATTATGTCGTAGATCCTGTGTATTTATGCTGTATATGACCTGTTATTTGTGTTATGTGTTTCATTTTCCGTTGTATACTATACTTTTACTTACGATATAGCGCAACATACAGTTTATGTTCTATTTTCTATAGTCTCTACTAAGTTCTTGGTATTCCATATCAGATAGCATATACTATGTGTTGGATGTTTTGTGTTGTATGTTGAATATTCTATTTTATATCTTATATGCCCACAGGGTTTCCTGCCCCCATTCCCACAGCTCCCTCGAAGCAGGAGTTGGTGCACAAGTTCAAGGAGGAGCAAACCACTTCAGCTTTGAAGGCCGTTGCAGGATTCGTAGGGTTTGGGTTTAGGGTTTAGGTTTTGGTTGCTTTGAGTCTCCTGGACTCTCTTCAAACCCTGACGCCTTGAGGTTCGTGCGGCTGAAGTTGAGAGCCCTGGCAGGCCATCGACGTGAGGGCCCGCGCAGCATTCTTCGCGGAAGTTCGTCTGAACCTCTTCAGGCAAGTGATGGGGACAGCTTTTGGGAAGCTTCCGCTGCCAGTTTGAGCCCCAAAGTTCGTCCCAGCGCTATGCAAGATGTTCGATAGTTGTGGCGGCTCAGACGATTTCAATCAGGTGCAGCCGTGGCTTTGCCAACAGAGCCCACAGCTGTCAACATCTGTCCGCTCTGCGTGGTGAATAATCATACGTCTTTTCCTCTGGATGCATGTAGGACATTGCCGTGGGATTTGCATGCTGTGTTACCCGTTTAGGAGCATTGACAGCAGGGCAAGAAGTGAGAAAGGACTGCAGGAGGTTTGGCCCTTTGCCAGTACGATGCCGTGCCAGGTTTTCGGAGACAGCGCAGAAAGAGCTTGTTGAGACCTTCACAGACCTGAAGGCTGAAGTGGTGAAGTTGGTGGACTCGACGACACAGGCACAATTGATTGCGGCTTGATTGGGAACCGTGATAATACACGATATCGGGCACCTGCTGCTTGCATATCTGTTCAAGAGCACACTGTGCTGCAACACGGCGAACCGCGCTTGCTTTAGAGATTGAGGACAGCCCTCAAGCGTCCGTCGCCTCTAGCTGATTTTAGAGCCATGGCATTCACTCCTATCGAGTCTGGCATGGGCGGCCTGCTGATCGGCCTGTCGGCCGCCCTCGCATACCAGGGTGACGGGAAGATCACGGAAATTGGTGGCAGCACAGAGCCCTTCTTGCGTCGAGTCGGAAAGTGCCAGCCGATGAACGATGGTCAGCTTTGGAAAGCCCTTTTTTGGTCGGGCTGCTCAGCGGTGGTCTTCTGAACCTGGCCCTCGACCGAGACTTCGTCTATCCTCAGACCTTCGACATCAAAGTGGCGAGGTACTGCTTGGGCGGTGTCGTCGTGGCATTGGCACCAAAGCAGGCCGCGGGTGCACCTGAAACTGATCTGGGCCCGATCCCAAACTGACCGGGGCCTGATCCGAGACTGAACCCCTGCGTCCCGAAACTCAGCCCCGAAGCTCACCCCCCGATCCGAAACTAGAACCCCGAAACGTGGGCACCCCCCCTGTTGCAGCAGCCTTGTCAAGCTTGGCTGTGGCATGATCTTCGGCTGGGGCCTGAGCGAAGGTCTTCAACGGGGTACCTGGGATCCGAGCCTGGCCTTCGTGATGGGCTTGGGGTTCTGCGTCTCCTTCCCGGCGTTCTTGCTGGCAGATCGACAGAGCAGGAAGCCTCTCTGCAGCGTCGAGCAGCCATCCAAAACCGGAGACCACGGATCGGTGGTGGTGCCACATTCAATAACCTCGGATGGGGCATGGTCGGGATCTGCCCAGACAAGCGCTGGCATGCTCCCGTACCTGGCTCGGCCATTCCTTAGGCCTTTGCGTGCTGCTGATATTGGTTTCATGGCTGGTGACGGACCGTGTCATCAGTCACTTGAAATCATAGCCGGCCTCGGAACCGAAAGTTGTGGTGCCGGCAAATGAAAGTGCTTAGGCGAGAACTGCGCCGTGTCGGCTCTTTTGTGCAAGAACTCGATGGTCCGGCTTTCAAGCTTGCTTTTGACAAGCTGGGCCCTCTTGGTCTTTTCAGGCCCAGTGTTCGTCGCTGCTTGAGCGAATGCTTGTTGAGCAAGCAGGTGGTGGAATACAAGAAACTGTCAAGGCTGTCTCAATTCCTCACCTGGGGCCATGAAGCCCTCTGCAAGAAGCTCGCTCCTGAAGCAGCAGCTCTATCGGCTCTGTCGACACAGCAACGCTTCAAAACCTCCCACGAATTCAACCTAGATGACTCTGCATGGCTCATGTCTCGGCAACTCATTGACATCGCACTGACATCGTTTCAGGCCAGTTCCTTGCAAGCGCGGCCCCAATGTGAAATCAGAGACTCAGATGCTCAGACGCTCAGACACTCAGACTCTCAGACGATCAGACACTCAGACGCTCAGACGCTCAGACCAGACGCTCAGACGTTCAGACGCAAGTCGAGGTTGGTTTGCCAGGCGTGATTGCTGCGATCTTCGGCCTTCGTTCTGCATCTCCGAGGCCGCACCCTGGACCCTGAGGCGTACAACATTGGGGTTTGGGGTGCCGAGGCAAGGCAGTGTCCTCTGTCGATCAGCGGGAAGGCTGGGAATTGGTCGCAGCAGATTCAACTACGTTTTTGAGCATTTGCTTCTGTGTGCAATCTTTGCATTCACGCAGAAGCAAATGGCTGTGAAGCAGGGACGACCACGAACAGTGCGAAGGATGGAATGGCGAAGCCAAGGAGAATGTTTGGAAGGTCGTTGGGGGCAAGTGCTGCCTCGTTACTGACTCTTACTGACTCGCGGAGGCTGTTTGGATTGCATTGGCTGGGATGATGTAGCGGCACAGGAAGAAGAAAAGTCTTGCCAGTGTTGACGGCTTGGAGTTGCTGTGTGGCAGTTTCCCCCCCACGCATTGGGAAAAATAAAGCATCTTCAACGGAACGTGAGACATGGCAATATGTGCTGCCTCCAGATGACAGGAAGTTGCGGCTTGGCTCGATGAGGAGCAGATGATTAAAGCATTTGGTCGCAGCCAGATGATATTTCAATTTAGGGTTTAGGGTTTAGGGTATGCAAGTTGGAGCAAACTAGAAGTCGTTGCAGGTAGTGTGCGCAGCATTGACACAGGAGCGCGTCGCTGTGGCCTGGCGCAATCAGGCGAAGCAGGCCGGCTTGCACTGAACCTTACTGTAAGTCCTTACCACCCCAAGGCAGGCAGTGGACATGGCCAGAAGACCTGGTCAACAAAAGCCTAAGCCCAAACCCTTAACCGTGTTGTTCAGAGTTATCTTGGTTTAGGCATCTTCTTTTGTCTGGCTCGTCACGTGGTAGGCATGTGGGATCTGCGCTGTGTCTGCCGACTCTGGCTCAAGACTTGAGGGTTTTCACCATGCCACCGAGAAATGGCAAGCCTCGTGAACGGGGATTCTCAGCTTGCAAGAAGCAGGGTTGAGGGTTTATCCCTCCGGTGGACGTAATGCGCCAAGCTTGCAAAATGAGAGGAGCGTGCTCGCCCAGGTACCGTGGTTGCTTGGAAAACAGCCGACTATGGCTTCGTGAAGCGCGAGGGCCGTCATAACGACGACATCCAGCTCCATGTCGCAAACGCAAAGGGGGAGCGATTCAAGAACTACATCCGGCGCAACGGCGTCGCGCCAGGTGTCCGGGTGAAGTTTGACGTCGACTTTGAGGCTGCCGGTGAAAGAAATCCACACATCCACTAGACTTAATTAGGAGCGACAGATAGCCCTGCGTATTCACCCGTTTGCGAGGCTACTGAGCCGCTCCATTCATGCGTAATGATTGCTGTGCAGGAAAACAGAGGGAGGCCCTACGCCGCCAACTGGGCACGGCACCTAGTGGTTCAGATATTTGTGCAGTGACTGCAGGCAGCTTTAGCCAAAATTGTGTACCTTCAACGCTTCCTTTGAAGACTTCGACTCCTTCCGACACGGAAGACCTTCTAAAGCCTGGACCCTTATGTATGCTGTATCGAACTCTTCTCAACCCTACACCCGTGCAAATTATTTAGAAAGCCATGCCCGTACACAAGCCCTTGCAAAATCCGATTTTTCTGGCCTATATCATAACCCTAAACCCTAAACCCACAGAATCTCAGAATTCAGGAGCTGGTTGACCCGCCCAAGTTCTCCGAGAGCCCGAGTCGTAGCCGCGGACGGCGGAAGTCACCCAGCCCGCGAAGGAGTTTGGAGTTTTGGGTTTAGGGTTGGTGTTTTGGGAGTTTTGGGTTTAGGGTTTAGCGTCGAGGTGAATGGTTTAGGGAGTTTAGGGTTCGAGGCAGATAGATGTTCCGCAAAGTTCCTGTAGGTTGTGTGACAAACCATGTACATGCTACAGCAAGTGGCATAGAGTGACGTGACATCAACTGCATATTAAAGACAGGCTCAATACTAATTATGACGCTATCAGTATCTTGAAGACTAGAAGCATTATAGGTACGGTTGTTCGAATTCGAGGTAGGACTGTGCTTGATGGCATGCAGCAGTATAGAAACCCTGGCGGGTCCACAAAAAAACTACGGGAAGTATGGCGCCAACAAACACGATGGGCAGTGTTTGGGTCGCAGGCTTCTAGCATTGAAAAGTCACGCCTTGCACTCATGGTTAGGCCATGGACGCTCTGAAGGGAAATATCCCCAGGGCTGAAGTACAAGTAGAAGGGGTGCTAGATTCCGACGCGTCGAAAGTCTGAAACAGAGCAGAAAACACCGAACAAAAGCAGGTAGGTTTACACGAGACAGGATAGATAATGCTACTCGTGCTATTGAAATCAGTAGGATAGGCAAACGCTTGGAAGTGAATAAACACAGGTCATTGCGAGGGTTTCTCAAGCCAAGATGAGCTGAACCGTGCAAAATCAGTGGGTTTCTTGCATAGTCTCAAACCTTAAGCCCTCAAACAATCCCCAAACGACCAATAATACCTTAAACCCTAAACGGCCAGGTACCCTAACCACACCCCAAGCCCATGGAACAAAAAGCCCTAAACCTAAACCCTAAACCGGCAAACCCCCAAAGCCCTAAACCCACATCCCATAAACCATAAACCCCTAAACCCCTAAAGCCCTAAACCCCCAATCCCTAAACCCTAGAACCCTGAGCCCAATACCATAAACCTAAAAACTGCGGGAGGAGGAGGTCTCCGAGCGTGAGAAAGCGGAGGTCGCCGAGCGTCTCGTGGCTAGAAAGCCCAAGACCTTTGTGTACGGCTTCGGGCTTAGGTTCCAGGGTTTATTTAGGGGTTAAGGTTTAGGGTTTAGGGTTTAGGGTTTACGGTTTAGGGCTGAGGGTTTAGGGCTTGGGGTTTTTGGTTCAGGGTTTGGGGTTTCGGGTGTAGGGTTTGATTTAGGGTTGCGTGGGGTTTATGAGGGTTCAGTGAGGGGTTTCTTGAGGGTGACAGAAATAAGGGATTTCTAGGGTTTTGTAAAAGCTATACGGGTTTTGTAGCGGCCTTCATCAGGGTTCACAAGGAGTGTCTTAGGGCTTGGTGAGGGTTTTGCAAGGGTTAGGGGCTTTAGCAACTTTGGTAAGAGGGTATTGCGTAAAGAGTAGAGTCTACTTGGAGTTTTGGTAGCTTCAACTACGTAAGGCTCGTTACTCTGATCGAGCCAGGGTACTTGAGGGCTCGCCACAGCATCGGTCCTGCATGGGGTGCAAGGTGCTTGAGGGTTTGGAGTTTAGGGGGCAGGGTTCAGGATTTCGGGCCGAAATTTGGGGTTGGGGTTGAGGGAGTGGGATTTAGGATTCAGGATCTAGGACTTGCTGGAAGAAGGGATTTGGCAGGGGTATGTAAATCGGCGTTTCGGACTCCGGGTCAGGCAGTCGCGTCTTTAGACAGTAAGTGCAACATAACAGCTTCATCTGCGGGTTGCTCCTCGTGATGGCTTCTTTCGTTGTCCTATTCAAAGACAGTCTCGTACCAGCCGTGAAGTTTGCTGACTAATCTAGGTACCTCGTAGGGACGAGGAACTCGCACCGAAGCCTTAAATTACAATTCTTGTTTCTCTTAAGCCGTAACTCAAGAGGTGAAGAGGAGGGGCTCTCCGAGTGTGAAGCGACCTCGCTCCTCACCGCAACCTGGCTTCCAGAGACGGTACGCGGGTTTCAGATCTTTAAGAGGTTTGGGGTTTGGGCTTTGGAGTGTAGGGCTTAGGGCTCAGGGTGTAGGACCTAAAGTCTGTAGGTCAGATTCTATTCGGCAGCGTTTCTCACACTGATTTCGTCCGAAGGGATCTTTTCATTCGGGGTCCAGTAGAGGTGTCTGTAGTATGTCCTAATGCTCAACAGTAGCAATGGAGGATCCCTCCCGTAATTTAGTGCGTGATAAGATTCAAGTGCAGGTTTCTGATTTGTTTTTGTTATTGAGGGTATCGGTGCAGTTTATGTCCCCTGCGCAGGTCAGCGGCATGCCTTTCTACAACGGTCTGTATTATATTACAGTACATTATTTTATATTATATTATATGCTATATTGTGTTACATCATGTTCTATGATGCTATATTATGTTATACTATGGTGCAGTATGTTATTCTAAATTATGTTATGCTATGTTACATTATGTTGTTTTATGTTAGATTATGCTATAGTATGTTATATTACGTTGTATTATGTTGTATATTGTTATATTCCGTTATATTATGTTATAATATGGTACAGTATGTGTTACCAAATTATGTTATACTATGCTATACTATGTTATATTATGTTAGATTATGCGCTATTAGGTTATATTATGTTATATTATGTTATATTATGCTATATTATGCTATATGATGTTATATTATGCTATATTATGTTATATTATGTTATACTGTTTTGTGCTATATTATGTTATATTGAGTTATACTATGTATATTATGTTTTACCATCTTATGTTATGTTGTATTTTGCTATATTTTGTTATTATTTTTGCTAGATTATGTTATACTAGGTTATATTATGCTGTATTATGCTGTATTATGATGTATTATATTATTTAGTATTGGATTGTATTATATTATGCTACGTGCTATGATATTATGTTATATTATGTTGCAATATATTATATGACAGTATATCATATTATACTCTGTTGTATATTTATCATACTATTTGATTCCGAGCTTTGATTGGGTTTGTTTGGCCAGCGCGCAACGGAACCGAGTCAGACACCGCAGCTGCGGGCTCAGACGGCTC